ATGACTGTCAGTTCCATCAGTGCGTTAAGTTGGGAAAGTTTGACAGCGACCGAACTATCAGTTTTATACCACCTGATGGTGAGTTTGAGTTAATGAAATATCGTACCACAGAGAACATCAATTTACCATTCAGAGTTCATCCAGTGGTCAACGAGATTGGAAAGTCTCGAGTTGAGTATAAAGTATTGGTAAAAGCTAACTTTTCATCTAAGTTATATGCCAATAATGTGGTGGTTAAGATACCTACACCACTCAATACATCGGGAAGCAGTATACGTGTTGGTGCAGGTAAGGCCAAATATGTACCTGCCGAGAATGCAATTGTTTGGAAGTAAATTTGAATAGATTGTTATAATTTTAATTAATATTTTTTAGAATTTCTCGTTTCCAGGGTCAAAATGAATACTCATTTTCAGCAGAGGTAGAACTCACTGCTACCACTGTTGACAAAACTTGGTCACGCCCTCCTATCTGTATGAACTTTCAAGTAGAATTTTAATTATCTATTAAAGGATTTTTACTAACTTTTTTATTTAGGTTCTTATGTTCACCTCCTCTGGCCTTTTAGTTAGATTCTTGAAGGTGTTTGAAAAGTCCAACTACCAATCAGTTAAATGGGTTAGGTACCTTACCAAGGCAGGCACGTATGAAATTAAGGTAAGACAGAACCTTTTGTTTTTGCTTTAAATTATTTATTGCTTTTGTTTAGTTTTAAATATAAGATAGTGGTTAACTTGTTCTCGTTATCATTACTTGATAATTTTTTCGGACTTGGGCTTGGGCTTGGAAGCTTTTTTTAATAAATACTAAGTTAATGTTTTAGCCTTGAGGATTATTCTGAATTTTGATTGTGGATAGAGTTTTTTGCTTGGTGTTCTAGTAGTCTTTTAAGGCCATTTAAATGAATGGACTAATTTCATACTATAATGATTAAAGTAAGTTTGAATTATTTATTATCTTTAAATTTCATACTACAAATACTACATTAAAGTTATAGAAATCATATTTTAATGTAAACATTATATTATCTTAAACTTTACACTAAAATGAAAGCAAAAAATCCTAACCCTATCCCACAAGCTAGAATTTACTAAGCATTATAAGTTTGTTTTTCAACCAATCATAAACCTTTGATTCAATGACTGGCTTATCTAGTCAGCTAGAAGCTTTTACTCTGACTGACTTAAATTACCAGACTAGATTGAAGGAATTTCCTGATTTTTTTGAACTAATGAAGTTACCATCTTTCTGGAATGCTTTGCTACTTTGAAAAGGTTACAGCTGGGTATAATTATTTTATTTTATTTAGCTTTATAATATCAAAATACTTTTGAACTAAATTCAACAAAAAATATTAAATGACTTTTATAATAAAAAAGATAATGCTATCGAGCTTTTCCATCTTAAAAGGAAAACACATTTCCTTGGTATAATTAAAAACTTTTATAGGGGAGGAATGTCTTTTTCATTTTCAATACTTTGTTCGTTTTTTATAGAGTATAAAACTTCGAAGGGTATTAGAAAAGCTAAAACAATCATCCCTTATTCAAAAAACCTCATAAATCGGAACTTTGACTGCATAATTTTAATTGCAAATTTTATGCCACTGGACCTCCAAAATCTTTAAAAGTAGCACGTAAACTGAATGTTAGAAATTGATTTAAGCCACCGAAAAAATATCATCCTTTATTTTTATAACAATGGAAAGCAGCACTAATAAACCAACTAAAGCGAGTGCACGAGAGAAGCTGAAAGCATTCTACAATCTAAATAAAGTACAGAATAGTGAAATTAATGAAAGTAACTTTGAATATCGACCTTATTTAAATAAACTATACACCCAACAGGACCTGAAGGGATTAATTGAACGTGATGTTACATTACTAACCGATATCAGAGAGCTGAATTCAGATGGCAAGAATCTAGTGTATGAAAATTACAGTAAATTTATAAAAGCTAATGAGAGCATACGAAGTATGAGAGATAATTTAGATAACATGTTTCAAGAATTAAGTGTGGCGTCGGAGTGTATGGATCTAATTAATAAAAATAATAACCAGATGGATATTGGATTAGAAGAAAGTAGGAAGGAGCTGGGAAAGTATTTGAATATCAATGATATGTTAAAAAAGTTCAAGTTCATCTTTCAGCTGCCTGCAACTTTAAGTGGATATATTGATAAAGAAATGTATTTAGAAGCGATCAACTATTATTTGTATACAAAAAAGTTGGTGGATAAATACCAGAGCATGAAACTGTTTACGGAGATTGAGAAAGAAGCGAAAAGTTTGATTAAAAAGGTAGAGGATATATTAAGGTTTAAGATAAGTAATGAGAATAATAGTATACTTGAATTAAATTATTGGTATTATTTATTGATTAAACTAAAGGATGATTACAACAGTAATGAAAAGTTGTATAATGATTTTTGCAACTTAATTTTTAAAAGGTTTTCAAAGATATTGAATCAACATCACCTTTTGCTGATTAAAGAGATCAATAAGAACAATGCGTTGGTAGAATTTTCATTCCAAATAGATTGGCTTAAAGGACTTAACAATGAGTTTTTTTTACAATTGAACGAATTTATTGAAAGCTTTCATGGCTATTATTTTCAATCTGAAAAAGAGTTGAAAGCGAATAATGTTAAATCAACCTTTTTAGAAACAATAAATAAATTATTAGATCTTGAGTATAATAATACGGTTTTAAAGTTGATAAAGATCGATAACATTAAAATAAAGAGTAATGATTTGAACCATATTACTTCTATCTATTCTTCTATCTTAACGGATTTGGCTACGTATTCCTCATTATGTGGCAGTAAGATGAGTGAAATTAATTTATTACAAAAGATAAGACTTACGATATGCGATTTTGAACAGAAATTAATTGAGAATAAGTTTAACGCAATTCAACAAGAGTACATAAATAAAATAATGGATATCAATATGGAGAAAGGGTATTTGAATGATATTATTGAACTACAAAGTAAGATAGTTATGATGAAGAATTGGCTATTACAAAATATGATGGAATTATTGTCTTTTTTTAAAAGTTTTTTGGAAGTAGATATACCCTTTTGGCAATTATCAGGGACATGGGCTTTGTTTTATAGATATTTACAAACTAAGTTGAATCAATTTTTTAAGAGTATACTAACTGAAAGTATTAAAATGAAAGATAATGAATTGTTATTATTATTAAATAGTAAGTGGTTGTTAGATTTTTATGATAATTTTGTAGCATCAATTTATACGAATTATATTACCACTTTAATAATTGAGATTAACATACCTTACTCTCATCAACCTAGTCAAGAAGAAGTGATTTTAGAGTGGGAACAAGAATGTGAAAACGTAATGAATTTATCAAGAGCTTATAGTAGTCAGATACTTAATACATATATTAGAAGCATTGGAAATAATTTGACAAAAGATATTTTAAATTTTTACTCTAGTTATCCTTTTAACCTTTGGCCAACTATCACGCAAGTTAATTCACTTTGGCTGAGCATTACACAAATGTTTGTCTCACTAACTAATCTTTCAGCTATTTTCCCAGCTAAAGATAATATCCGTTCTGGAAGTAATTCAATGGGTAAAAACACAATATGATATATATAATAATGTAGTTTATTTTATCATAAATTAGATTTAGATTATAGGATGCCATCCCGTAATTCTTTACAATTAATGTCGCCTACTAAAAATAAGACTTTTACCGGTTTATTTTTAAATAAGAAGAATGAGCTACAACCTGATTTGTGGCTTAATAAAATTGATAAATTATTTTCTGATAAGATTGAGATTTATTCTAATACTGGGTTTACAGTAGATGATATCATGATTCAGTTGGCCAAAATAACATTGAAGGTAAAAATAATCAACATACTACTACTATATTTATATCAATCATTTTATGTTGTTCATTATGTTAATATTTTATCAGGCTACTTCTGAAGCTATTAGATTGAGTGCATTCAATCAAAATGCGTTTTATCAATTACAATTAGATTTGGAATATTTTCAAAGGAAGTTACCAGTCTTTGTAAAATTGGACAAGTAATTTACTGTTTATTAAATTATATCATATAGCTTATCCTTGTATTACAGTTCCATACAATCCTTGTTTAATGAAGTCATATCCTCTGGTTTTAAACGAGCAATTATTACAGAAAGATTGGATCCTATAGTAAGTTTAGTTGATGACAATCATAATAATGAGTACCAATTATAGCTTTTAGAAAATTGACCAAATTCTTGGACCTGAAAATCCAATTTAAAGTTTTAAATAAAATTGTCGAATGTTATTGATTAACTTTTAGATAAGATTAAAATTTAAGATAATGCCCATCAAAAAGTTTGAAGTAATGCTTTGAAATAAAATGAAAGGTTTTGGTCGATACAGGTAGATTATTTTTTTAAAATTAGCTTTTAAATGTTTAAAGTTTCAAATCCAAACTCAAAGCTAATATAAAAAAGACTGGCCAATAGAAAAGTTGAACCTCCAACCTTTAGCTATCAAGTTGATTTTCAATCTATCTTTATAACCTAAAATGACAAATCTATACCATATAGGAAATTTAAAAGCCTACTTAAAATTAGGTGCTTTCCAATCTCATTTTCTTGTCCATTTTTTACGTAACGTAAAACTTGAAAAATACAAACAAACGCTGGTCAAAGAAGCGCTCTAATATAACTTATTTAAAATTAAGCAGAAAACAATATCTTATAGCACTTAGTACTCAATTATCAAATTATCAATCTTTGCTAAAAAAATCAAGATTAAATAAGACTTGAACTAAGCTTTTATACCAAGTCATCTAGCAATCAATTATTGTACTTAAAAATTGCAAGTTAATTTTTGGCTTACAACATTACAAATCATCAATGAAAAAAGATAATTTTAGCTTTCTTAGTAGAATTTTTAAATTAAATCAAAGAAAAAATATTTTACATAATATTAAAAGAATAAATTAGAATATATTCCAAAAGTCATGACCAGCAGAGGAGTCGAACCTCTAACCTCTAGATCTGGAGTCCAACGCGCTACCATTGCGCCAGCTAGCCAACTTCCCTTATGGAAATCATCTTTTCTTATAAGTTCAATTTGTTAAATATATATATCTTCTGATTCAGCATAAAAATTCCGTTACATTGGTTAGTGACAAAGTAACTTTATAAATATGTATGTAATATATGGGTATGTATTTTCGTGTTTAAGAATTTTACTAACAAATTTTCCGCTCAAATAGTGCTTGAAAAATAGAAAGTAATGAAATAAAAAAAACATCCCCATATACATGTCATCAATGTCATTATACAATGTTTTTGATTATACCATTTCATTATTAATTTTATTATAGCTATAGTTAAAAGAGTTAGCTAGCACTATTAACTATTTCAGTAATATTTATACTATAATAGTTCATTAAATATAATTTTAACTAGTCCGAATTATTTCTTTAGCTTAGTAATGATATCTTTATTAGCTATAGTAAACATGTTTATTTTTACTTCTTAATTAAAACATAGTCTGTTACTTTTGAATAATAATAGTAATTAAAAATATCATTAAGATGAAGTTAATCTGAAGTTAAACATACTGCTATTGTGCTAGCTAGATGATGCTCTTTTGGCTTGTTTGAAATAGGAGAGTAAATTGTATATTAGAATATCCTGATTTAGTTTCTTTTCCTTTTTTTCCAGTGGTATTGTGTAGAAAAATTATCAATAAAAAATTAAACAAAAGAAACGTTCATATAAATTATTAATGTGTTTTATTATTTAAATACCAATTTCTTTATTTTACCATATTTTAAATAGTATTTGTAGACTGTTTTCAATTAATGAAAAAAAAGATTAATGTATTTATGAATCAATTTTATATTCAAAAGTTGCCAAAAATTATTATTTCCACTTATTTTTAGATATTAAATTATTTTAATTTTGAGTTTTTAAATTTCAAACCAAACCAAAAATAAACAATGTGACAAAGCTTACTATCATTAATAAAATAAATAATGTAAAGCTATATCTTTCTGTGAAAATAGAAATAACATGATAATAATAAAACTTAAAAGATAATATTGTTTAATGAATAAACAAAACAAAAAACATTTAAGATCTAATTTCTATAAATAATAATTGTATACATTGGACATTAGGACACAATAAAAAAGTAAATAGTGGGGATGAATACATGAAAAGCAACAATAACTAAATTTGATCATAATATTCTATTTTAAAGTTGATTAAAAAAATCTAAAACTTACAAGATTATAATATATTCTTTACAAAAAGTCTTGATTGGCTTCATTTGAACCAATTAGAAGCGAATGTTAAGAAAACCAAAAATACCAGCTTAGTTTTTAAGTAAAAAATTAATAAACATTCTTTTTACATTTAAATATTAAATTATTAAAACTATTAATCAAGATTAATAGCTGAATATAGTTTATATAAAATTGTATTGATTTTAAAAAATGTATCTCAAAACCGTAGATTCGACCGAATTAAAGAATTATTTATTGAATTCTTTAGCACCAATGTAATTTATAATATTTTAGTTTAGTTTTAGGAGCAAAAGTATTTGGATATTGATAATATTAATTTCCAAAATTGATGTTAAACATGATTCATGATTTGTTCCATTAGATTCTTTTTTAAAAGCTAACACTTGTTTTATCTAGTTCCGATGCTGATAATGAAGCACTTTCTGAGTATATTGTCACTTTGATACGAAATGATAAGCCCAGCTCAGAAATAAAACAAGAATGCCTGGAACAATTGGAAGAATTCTTGGAAGACAGTAATAAAAACAAAAATAAAAGTACTTGAAATAATTTCGTAAATAGGAACGATGACATTCATCAATAAATTGTTTTCATGGATCGGTGAAAGATCTCAAGACCAAGAAGAATATGAAACAGGGAAAAAAAGAGGTACTTCACCAGCTCATGAGACTGAATATAAGAAGATTAAAAATAAGTTCAATGAACCAAGGTATTTTTTTTTAAATGTTTGTTAAATCTTTTATATTGATGAAATGAAAGGTATACTAAAAGATACCAAAGACCTTGCCGTTATTTCTCAGGTAATTTTTAGTCTATAATTTTGTTCTTATTCCAAATTCTGTTTTAGAAACTGGATATTGTAAATGGGGCCAAGAATGTCATTATTCGCATGAGATTGATCATTCTTCAAATCAAATGAATAACCATCAAGTATATGATCCAATAAATAGTAATGTGATAAGCTCTCAGCCTGAAGATGAGTATGATCCAACCAACTTGAATGGCGGGCAGCAAAGAGGAGGACCCTATATACAAGGCAGATTAAAGTTTAATAATGGTGCAAATAACGGTACATTTCAACGACAAAACAATGAAAAAAGGATCGTGTGTTACAATATTCCGAAAGAATCATTATCTAAAGACTCAATTATGGAATATTTTTCACGATTTGGAGAAATCGTTGAAATTAGTCTTAATGAAATTAATTCATGTGCTGAGATAGAGTTTAAAATAAGGACTGATGCTTCTAAGGCAATTGACTCAACTGCACCAATATTCGATAATCGATTTGTTAAATTAGAATGGAAAGCACAAGAATATAATAGTGTTCAACCTACTTATCACACTCCCGCTCCTCACAAAAATAGCGAAGAATTGGCTGCTATGCGCGAGGAAAGGATTAAAACTGTAACTTCATTAATCAAACAAAAAACAGAATTAGTTGAAAAACAATTAAAAAGTCAAAAGGAGCTCATAACCATGATCGAAGATTCAAATACCTCAGAGCATAGTAAAAAGGAACTTATACAAACTTTAAACCAACTTACAAAATCAATTAAAGAGCAAATGAATTCTATTGAGGAAGAAGAGACTATACTAAATAATTTAAGGGAGAATAAACTTGATAATGCGACCAGTAAGCCTTACCCAATTTATGCAGCAGCCGGAAGTAATAAATGGGTTAAAGATAAACCTTATCAAGCTAGAAAGTTCAAACTTGACAATCGACCAAAATCATTCATTGTAACTGGGTTTACTAAAGAACAAAGTGAAGAAGTGAAACAGTTCCTTAATGTAATTTTATAATTGTTTTAAGTATGTAAAATTAATATTGAGATACAGGGATTAAATTATGTTGAAAATATAGAATTTGATCAAGAAAAAGAAGGTTATGTGGTTTCCTTTCCAAACAACTTTTATGCGATCAAGGTACTTTTTAAAATAAAGAAATGTAATGATTTATACTTAACTTTTGTTCTAGGCTTACCCACTTTCATCAAAATATGATGGTGTTGTACTTTCGTCTACTTGGATTTACAACAAACCCCAAGAGGCTGAGAAAACTGAAGAAAATCAAGGAAGTAATGGAAATGGAGATCAAGATGCAATGGAGTAATTTTTAACTTGTTAAAATAAAAGATACATTTTTTTTATTTGTATAACTAAATCACTTTTACTGTTGACTTTGGATATTATTAAATCAAGTATAACATTTTGTTGATATAAGAATTGGTTATGAAGTGACAGATTTTGAAATAGATATAAAATCATAATATTATTAAAATATCAATAAGAGCATTTTTGTTCATTTTATTGTTTTGCTTACTATTGAGCAGTATAAACCAAAAAAACCTTAGTCAAATTTCAAATAAAAAACATGGTTATAAATAGCAATATTATACTCTGTAATAAAAAGAATAAAGCATCTGGGGGTGTTTTTTGGCTTCATTACTTTTTCCATCTTTTAAGCATTATTTGAGTGGAAATTTTTTTAGTAAATTCTTAAACATAAAAATACATCCTCATCTCAACTTTGTTGAATTGTTTTAGATTGATATCAAAATCCATGGTATTTTTGTTCCTACATCACTTTACTCAATATAACTTTTTTTAAAAGTACTACTCATTCCAACCTCAACAATACTACAATCATAGTATATTACTTTTGAAACTTTATATTAAGTGTTATTACCTCTTTACTAGAAATATAGTATTTCGCCCTATTAAATCACTAATACTAGATAAATAATATTATAATGATTTGACTTATATCAAGTAACCTTAAATTTTTTTATAATAAATTGGCTGCATTTGAAGAAGAGAGTCATGTGTAGGTATTATTGATAGAGGAAATAAAAGTAAATTCTTTTCTATTTCCATCTTTTAAAGGCACATGTATCCATATGTAACTATATTTTAAGTGTGTAGTTTTTGAATCATTGGATTTGCTGATAATGATCTATTAATAACTTATTGAATTATAACTAACAATTTAATTATTATATTAACTATCAATCTTTAAATTAACATTTAAAGTAGTTTTTAATTTACACAATAGAGTTCAATAAATTTCTTATAACAATGTATTTTTTTTGTTTAATTTATAAGGCTTTAATGTACAATTTTATTATATTAAGCTAGTAAAAACGTTTGGATATTTTTTATGATTTTGATATTAAACTTGCTATAAAGTACAAAGTATAAAGTATAAACCAAAATTGTTAAAAAATAGAAGTTGGGGTAATAAAATGAAGCTATTAGAACTAAGTTAAATAACATGACCTATACAGAACTAACAAACAAGTTAATAATTAGCTCAGTCCATGCTTACTTATTATAATCCCGCTACATATAAAGAATTCTTAAGAGAAAATACGTTCGCACATGTAAGTCTAACAAAACACTATTGAGTTAAATCATCATTTTTGATAATTTACCTAAACCAATGAAACGTAACGCATTCAAACTTAGCAGGCTAAATGCTACCTATAAATCAAAAAAATAGCTTTGAAAAATCAATAAAATGTTTTTCAATTCTTTAACTTTTATTTATTTATTTTTATTTTTATCGCCAAACACTTACATTTATTCACAACAGTATCCTTTTATAGGCAAAATCGAATCCACTTTGAGTAGCACTGGCTCTTCATTAACCCATTTCTATCAACAGGCTAGTACAGACATTGAGACTACTTTAGGATTAAAAGACTTCTTCAGAAAAATTGCTAAGGACATATCAAAGGGTGGCTCAGTAGGATGTAGGGCTTGTAAACG